TTTTGCATTGAATTATATTTGAAAGTAGAAACCAATATTGGCTCCACGGAAAATGCAGATCTCTGCTAACTAAAACTTTATTATCCAGGACAAAAGAGACTTGACTTTGCCTGCCTGCCCTGTTGTAGAGGTTATGAAATGGGTCAGCCTGGACTGAAAGATTAACTTCATAGAGTTCTAACCCTGACCAGGAAGACCTAAGGACTAAATGGTCTGTGAAAAGGTTAGATGAAATACTAAAGATACAAATACAGAAAAGAGAGGCAATGAAAGTCTAAGGTTCTGGCTTAACACTTGCCCTAAATTTGAAAGTGTGGTTTTTGTAAGTTTGTATAACTCTTTCTTCCAGCCTATAGTTCTCTTCATTGTAGCTTCATGTTTATCTAGATGGAAACAGGAAAAGGATATCCTCTGGTGGTTTATTTGGGGAAGGCCGAGTCATCAGAAAATCACCTCAGACTGTCTGCCTCACCAAATTATATTTATACATACAGAGACACATTGATATGTCAGGAAAAGAAAAAAGTTTCATACTGTCTTAATCCTATCACTAGTATATATGTTTTTCCTGGACTTAACTCATTTATCATAATTAAGGGTCTGATATATCCCAGGTGCCAGGATAAATTAACTGAAAGGCCTGGGCTCAGTCTTCTATGTACCCTACCTTCATGAATACAGAGTGTCTTTTGACCCACATATTTCCACTCTTGATATTACGATATGAGTCTCTAAGGCTTTGTTAATATTTTTTTTGGACTTTTTTCTCATCTCTACTTCAGATTGGGTAGCTTTTGTTGCCCTTTCTTCAAATTTATTATTCTTACAGTTTATATCTCCTTACTGAGATTATCCATTTTTCCTCTAATTGTTTTTCTTCTAAATTCTTGAACTTATTTATAATAAATGTTGAAAGTTCTTGTCTCTTACTTTCATTATCGAGTCTCTTTATGGTGATTTGTTTCCTGTTTATAGGTCACATTTCCCCACTTCACTTATGTAGTAAGTTTTTATTGTTTGCTGAACATTGTGGATATTACGTTGAAAAAAATTCTTATCTAATTATTATAGCATTAAACTTTCTGCCCAGGAACTTATAGCATTAAACTTTCTGCCCAGGAACGGCATCTTCAGAAGTATCATGCGGTGACTTCTTGTCCTGTGGTCGTAATCATATCTACCTTTCTCTTAAGGACCTGGCTTTCCTTTGTTTAATCAAGGAATTAGTCTCTACATTTTTTTTTTAATTTAAGTTTTAAAAAAATCCTTTTAAATTTCCTAGCATGTTTTTGACCAGTCTTATTTTTTTATTCTTAATTTCTATTTTATCACCTTATGCTCTCGTATACTCTTAATATTTTAATAGTTTAGTGTATTTTCTTAACTAATTTTATTCTTTTTCTTTTTATACTACTATGTAAAAAGTAGAGGTATAAGAAAGGTAGTTGTGGTTTTTTGGGGGTTTTGGTTTTTGTGTTTGAGACAGGTTCTCACACTGTCACCCAGACTGGAGTGCAGTGGCAAGATCTCGGCTCGCTGCAGCCTTTGCCTCTGAGGCGCAAGCAGTCCTCCCACCTCAGTCTCCTGAGTAGCTGGGACTGCAGGCATGTGCCACCACACCTGACTAATTTTTATATTTTTTGTAGAGACAGGGTTTCTCCATGTTGCCCAGGCTGGCCTCACACTTCTAGGCTCAAGTGATCTGCATGCCTCAGCCTCCCAAAGTGTTGAGATTACAGGCAGGAGCCATTGTGCCTGGCCTAGAAAGGCAATTGTAAGGGTAGATTATATTCTTTCCTTTGCAGTTGGTGTGAAAAGGTTCCTTAAAAAGTTCTTTTAGTAACCTCTAAGTCCCAACCCATGACTTCCATTCTTCCTAAAGAGCTGTCGTCTTAGTTGTCTTTGCTTCTCATGAAGATGATGATTATCCTTCCCTACTGCCCATATAACTAAATTCCATCTTGGCTTTTTATGTTGTGAGCTATCTATCTTTTTATGCAACATAATCTAAAATATGGGAATGAAACTAGGTTGAAATAATCTGGGTCAGGGGATGAGTTCAAAACCAGCCTGGAGGCAGCATAGGGAACCTCCCCCAAGTCTCGTTTTACAAAAATTTTTCAAAAATTAGCTGGCTATGGTGGCGCATTACCTGTGTTCCCAGCTATTCAGGGCCGCTTCAAGGAGAGAAGGATTTCTGAGTCCAGGAGGATAAGGATGCCAGTGAGCCGAGATCTGCAGTGCCACACTGCA